TTTCTCTCTCTCTCTCTATATATATATATATATATATATATATGAAAGTGAAAATAGAAGTCAACACTTAGATGAAAAACACTGTCGCTTTAAGTGCTGACTTCTATATTCACTCATATTTACACACGCTCTAGCTCTGATATTGAGCACTTTATCCTATAAATATAGCACACCTTGAGACTATATCTCTTCAGATATATATATATATATATATATATATATATTACCGGCAAACGGGCAACTACGTAAGCATAATCGCTCATGAAACTTTTTCTTTTTCTACCACACATCTACACAAAATATGCGTGTTCTTCGAAAGCAAAATCCCATCTCGTGACTAGCTGTTGGCACGTGGCAAGCATAGTATTTTCGCAGGCATTGGAAAGATATTGATTCTATCTGGCAAGTTTAAACTAAATAATGAACTAAGACAGCTACTGCAGACACACTGAGAATCTATATCCGTGTCTCTTTTCCAACTCTGATATACTTTTCATTAGCAAAATTCTAATTGGCTGTTTTCCATCCAGGCACGCTGCTTATGCCCGATGTAACATTTCTCCTCCGTAATTCGTGCAGACTAATGCCTCCTTCGATCTTAATTCCTGTTGTGTACATATTGTGTAATGAAACCCATTCTTATCACTCGTGTTTTCAATACATGCTACATCGTAGGAGGTCTATGTCTGCCTTTGCCAAATAGCTCAACGAAGTTCACGTTTTTCTAATTCTTTTTTCAATTCTCTTTCGAACACTGACGTGCGACGCCTGGGAGCTAACACCAAGGAAATCACTCTATTCCTTTTTTTTGTTAAATAACATAGCAGCATAAGTATTAATCATTTTAAAATTATATAACCTATGACGAGCGTAAAAACTTTGTTTAAATTCTGAGTGATTCTCAATATTACATGATGTGAATATAATATCAGAAAGGACCTCCTTCTACCAAAGTTGTTAGACTCTCTCTAATCTCTCGGCAGATGTTCGGATTCCACAAGTCCTGTCATATACAGCTACAACCTGCAAGGTCATCTATACTGAGTTACCCCACCCCATTCCTTTCATATTCCATTGGTGAGGAGGAAGTTTCACCCAGGGATTTTCTGTTCCAGAACTGTTGCATTATGGAACGGACACTAGAAATGATGATTCCCTAACTTTTACAATCTCAACCTCTTCAATTTTGGGGTCAAACCTTGCCCATCTTAAATATTTCCATTATATGCCCCCACTCTGTTTCCTTCCTGTACACATTTACAGCAATTATTTAATAACCACCAATATTAAATATTTCTTGGGACTTTTACTGGACAAACAAGAGTAAAAATAATCACATATTTTACAAGAATATAAATACCATGTTTCTTGGGAATATATGTTTGAAATTGTATCGCTATGTGATTATGTTATACACATTGTGGCAAATGTCGCATAGTTAATTTTATTATATTAACATTGAGCAAAGATCTTTACATATAATAGACTCTTCAGAAAATAATCTTGTTGCTCTTTCTCCTCGAGCAATTTGTCCTTTATTTGGATCTACTTATTTATATTATTCAAATCTTATTTATTTTTATTACTTCTTCTTAATCATGTGTCTTTATTTACTAGATCTTATGAGAATTTCTGGACTTCATTTTTGAATTTCATCAAATATATCTTGGAGTCATTTTGCGCATATAATGATTGATGTTTCTGTCATTAAATATATCTATATTCACATAATCACACAATGAATACCAGCACTTTGCAACATTGAACAGAATCAATGAAATCCACGCAATTCCTACAAATGTAAATCGTTCCATTCATAACGTTTGAAAAATTATACTGATTATAATATTTTTAATTAATAAATGAAGTATAGTGAACATTTAATATATTTTCGTTATTTAATATATTTCTTTCGTATTTAATCAGTACTCAGACTATATTTTACTAGTAACTTTTAAAGTTAAAACATCCTGTAACCAATAACAAGGACATACCAGATAAACCGTGTCCAAATCCTCGAATATAGTTTTTGTTTAATTTTTGGAGTGTAAGTATGAGGAATAAAGGGTTTAAAATGTGCAGTAATGGCTTTCTCCAAAATAAATGAATATTACCGATTTAAGGAAACCATTATTAAAGGGTCCTAGTCTGTATTTTAATGATATCTGCTATTTGGGATATTACACGATTTAGGGTGCTAAAGTGTTTCAAACATAAACATTAAATCCATGTCTACTCCAAAGTGCCGGGAAGTTCTGCATGAAAGATGTTTCATTCCTTGATGTGCATTGTTTATTAAATATATATGGACTACAGCTGCAGACAGGTGATATTTAGTAATTTTTATTTGATTTCTGTGCTTACATTCGCGTTTAAATAAGCATATATTTTATCAAATGTTATATAAATCGTTAGAAGTGGTTCCGATTAAGATAATATATTCATATAATTGTAGTAAATTATTACTTTTCGTTTCATTCAGGTAATTTAGCATTTTTACTTTCCACTATTTGTGTTCAGTAATTTCATAATAGATAAAATATATTTTGGATATCTACTGTAATATTTTAAAATTAGCGGCAACTTCAACATTTAAATATTTTGATAACTTATGCAATCACAAATTTCAAAAAATATCTGAATATATTAAATTGTGAAATAAATCCCTGGTCATAGACTATTGATTATAAATATAATATTTTCGATTGTTACCATTAAAGCGATTTCTATTCATGATCGATATGCCCCAGCATTTTCTATTCTAATTTAAGTTTAAAGAATGGCATAAAATACTCTGGCTAATAGTCTTTGAAAAAGTTTTTGTCTGAATTTTGTTAGACGTTATGACAATCAGTATAAGATTTCTGTGGAATAATGTTCTCGTTTTTTTTTTTGTTTGATTATTCGGCAACCATTTGGTTGTGTCTGGTTTCGTCTTTTTCGAATGTTTATTGAGTTCTTCAATTTTTAATACTATTTCAAGAGCACATGCAAATCGGCACCTGGGGTTTTTGCATACCTGCCTTCCAGAAGCAATCTTCCCACAACCACCGCGCAGACCTCATGACCGCCTCCACATGTTTCATACACACTACAACATCAATGGTGACCTAAGTTCATCACCTGCTGTTTTTTGATTAATGATATCCTAGAACCATCCTTTGATTTTAACGTTGACTACAAAAAAAAAGGACTTTAAAAAATGCGAACGTCTCCTTTAATTAGCTCCCAACATGGAAGTGTATATACAGATTATGGCGAACGATATAAAATTGAACAAATAGTTTTTTCGTTAAAAATATAAAAAAAACTGCTGATTCCCATGGATTTGAGATGAGGTTATTTTAAAAAAAAATATTTTCAGCTGAGACTGCCTACAGTTTAAATTGGCTGGTACCATATAATGGAAAGAAATTATTCTATGCAAAATATTTCTAGTCGAACTGCAATATTTTCTCTCCATAAATTTCACTCAGTCTCTCTCTATCTCATTCTGTTTATATATCTATCTAGCTAGTTAGCTTTTACATTCTATCTATCTATCTATCTATCTATCTATCTATCTATCTATGTATCTATCTTAGGTGTATGTTTCATATATAAAAGAAAGGCTTTAGATTTATGGTCACAAGATGTGGCAGTGAAAATATTTAACCGAAAACGCTGGTATTAGGCATTCTCAGGCGATCATGCGGTTGCAATTTTTTTAACAGTATATGTACTATTATTCAATTTTAATTATAAATATCCCATTATTAAATTTTACTGAAATATATAGCATTATTCAATTTTTATGGTATATATATCATTATCGAAATTTAATAGTATATACATTGAATAATGCTATATATTTCATTAAAAGTTAATAATGAAATATATAGCATTATTTAATTTTAATGATATATATATATATATATATATATATATATATATATATATATATATATATATGTGTGTGTGTGTGTGTGTGTGTGTGTGTGTGTGTGTGTAAATGAATTTCAATACCCCATATGGCCATTTCTCCGCGTAAGACATTAATGTTCCAAGGTTTATCAACACCGAAAACGTTTGAAGAGAAAATAAAAAAAGAAAGATTATTTTTTTAAAACGATACCTTGAAAGACTACAGGGCCCCAAACTCGCATTTGACGTCATGTGGAACTCCTACATACGATCTATTGCTAAGGTAAAATGATCGGCTCTCTGCGCCGCTCCAGTAAGTACATGACGTATTCTGCTATCAATGCAAAAATGGAGTATTGTTATGACATTTGGGTGGGTGCGGATGAAACCTCACATTCCAGCCTTGATAGAGCTCAAAACTGTCTTCGAGTCGTTGTGGGTGACGAATTATTCTTCACCCTCAAACTTCTCTCCCAAAGGCAGGATGTGACAAGACTCTCGGCTCTGCATTGCTACTTCCACGGAAACTACATTCTTTAGTTCCAGGCCTAACATTCACAGCTAGGAACTATCATGTCACTTATATTGTAATAACCCACCAACGTTCCTCTGTATTCCATCGGTAGAAAGTAATTTCCGATCAAACAGCTTTTTCCCGTGAACAACTGCTTTGTGGAAACGACTCCTAAGAGTATGTTTCCCTGATCGCTACAATCTTAACCTGTTTAAAGCTAGAGTGAACCGTTATCTTCCCATTTCTATCCACACAAATTGTCTTCTAACGTAAACCTATAGGTTAAGTGGTTCCCCATGGCTTGTAAATGGTGAATCTTACAGTTAGAAATAATTAACAAATAAGCGTTATATTAATAAAACAACTGAAAAACATTCGAAAGAATTATAATCTCTTGTAATTTAATAATTTATCTATTACGAAAGACATTCATTTAGCATGATTAAAGCCAATAATATCAAGGATAAGGCTGATATTAATCAACTTATAAACTAGAAAAACGATTTAAACAACTTGTTATGTGTAACTATGTCTCTTGACTGAAAGTCATTTAAACATTTTCAGATGGAAGACTAAATAAACATCACCGGCTGTAGCCCCTGCTGATCGATAGATTGATAGATCGACATAAAATGTTTTTAGTTATGGAATGCATTGGAAAAAACAGAGACATAACAATAATGAAAGTTGCACTTACTTCTTTCCAGGACACATATTCGAAGACCTCATTATGTAGTGGATTGGCGACAAGAACGGGTAAGAATAGAGAAGACAACAACAGTGACTCCGTGCGAAACGAAATAAAATCTATTGTAAAAGAAGACACTGGACAAACAATTGGTTTTCGGAGGAAAGAACGAGGCTAGACAGTCGAAGAAGAATTGCTGTACGCATATGAACAATTCATTTAGAAAACTGCGAAGCAGAGAGACAGAAATTTTTTATGGAGGCAACTTATTTTTTTTTTTTTTTTGTTATTTGGTTTCTTATCATTTTCCTTCCAATGGGGACATATGGCCATCACCTTATCCTGACACGTAAACTGTTTTTTTCTTTGTTTTGGCCTGTTCTCCGCCGAGTAAGAGACCAAGTTCTTTGTGATCTGCCAACACTGTTTACGCTCAGATGCTTCTAGGTTTTATTCTCTTTCTATTCATAAGTGGGGTGCTTCCCAATACAAGTTTCCGTAGTATTTAACACGACATGATCAGGAATTAACCAAATCCTTGAAATGTGCATTGTTTAATCTCACTTGACACATCCGACTGATTTTTATCCTATGTCACCTTTCGGCATAGGTTATCGAATGTATCTACATATTTTTTCTTTATTTTTTAGTAATGAACATGAATTATTGCATAACATTTTTTTCCTGTTGCATACTATACAATTTTAAATTCAGAGTAGTCGTTCTGCAAGACTAGATAAATAAAGACTACATAAATTTACAGAGCTCAGATTAATATTTAACCAATATTTTGGGGAAGAACTGCATCCATGTACTTGGCAAGAGTGTTAATTCAAGCTGAATGGAACAAATGGCAAAGGAACTTCAAGTAGACACAATGTAGACACCAATAATTTATACAGTACCTGCATAATCAGATGTCTATGCTTTTCTTGCCGATTTCAATATTATTTCTTCAATCTCTCTGTTTATGCATTATTTTAATTAACTTTCGGATTCTAATATTTACACTTAAAAATTTGTCTTTTTTGATTACACTGAAAAATGGTCGGCTCCTTATACAATTGCAGAAAAGAAGCGAACTCACTGTTCTGTTTTTAGAATAATCAGAAAAGCGGGGCGGATGCATCCTTATTCCCTTCGTATTTCATTGATATAAAGGAAATTCTATTCGGAAAGTTTCTTCCCAAGAGCAGCAACTTCTGGGAATAAACTCGAAGGACGATCTTACAATCTTAAATTCTTCAAGTCTAGGCTGGACAATTATCCATGATAAATATCCTCATAATCTACAATGCGAATAACTTTCACCGCTGTTTGATGGTAGGTCTTCCTCACAATTTGAACCTGATATTGCATATTGTTACCGGGTGGTCGGTTCAAACATTCGCCCCACGGTAGATCGTGACATGGAGATTTTCCTTGCCAGTGTCGCAACCAAAACGTCATATTGCGTCCTCTTTTTTTCAAGCGGTGTACGTGAGAAGCCAGAAAGAATACCTTGCAGTGAAAACTAAACCGCGATGGTATAGAAAATTATTAAATCGAATATAATGGCCGGGACTAAGCATTTTTATTGACAAGGAGAATAAATGCGACCTGTATTTAGTTGAAAAAATAATTATATTACAAGATTTAAATAACCCGGTCTTACTAAACAAGAGAAAAGAACTGATGACCAACTAAAAATAAAAACCTACTTAAGTACGTAGATCCTGATTAATTTTTCTATACTCTCGCGTTTAATTTTCACTGCAAGGTATTTTTATTTATCTTTTGTTTATTAATTAATTAATTTTTTACGTTTTATGTTATTATTTTTAATATAGATTTCTTATTAAATATGTTTATTCATTTTTTTATTTATTTTTATTTTTAGGTATTTATCTATTATTTTTTATAGATTTCAATAGTGTATTAGTTGTTTTATTGATTTATTTATATTGATTTATTTATTTTTACTTATTTATTTTTATATAATTTTCTCTGGAACTTTTACTGTTGTGACGTCGTCCCCTGGTCGCAGCGCCAACTGTGATGTCCTATCCTGGTCTACCACGGCACCAACTGTGACGTCCTCGCCACGGCGCCAGCTGTTCGCTCCTCGCTGCTCCGTTCGGGTGTCGCCGCTCCAAACGTGACGTCCGCCTGTCGCGTCAGTCGTGTTGTCCCGTCATGTGACGACCAACTGGCTTGGTATCGGTCGCGGCACCCAAATGTGACGTTCTAACCTTTTGGTGATTCGGGTGGGAATCTGGTTAGATTTGATATCAGCATCGTCGTTCCCAACTCGCTTCCAACGCCTGGTTACCAAAGTAACTGCATCGATCCCCAGTCTGACTACCCACGTTGTGAATTGATCTTAGGCAGACGAGATCAATCAGTAGTTGGGGCCGTAATGCAAATCGGGTTCAACGGGGGTGACACCACACAAATATGCATAAAAAAAATAAAATGAAAACTCAAAAGTTCAAGGTATCAAAGAAAAAGATAACAAACTTTATGTCCAGTTGTTCGATACATAGGACTGCGTCTATCTCCCGACCCGTTCTATGGATTGTGACACGTTGTTTTCCGTTAGGCGAGTTTTAACGCTTCAAGTGGTTTGCTCTTTAAGAAATTGGTTTTCGGTGTGTCTTCGGACGAAAGTCGAAAAAAAATTATTTTGGTGGTCTGGATCTAAGTCGCTCTTCAAAATAATTGTTCTTGGATTGAAGAGGAGTCCGGAATGTGCGTGAATCTTTCAAGTCAGCTATCTGCGAGGCGGAACCAACTTCCACTGCGAGCTTCGAACTCTCTGCTGCAACTCCACTCTGCTGAACTGGGCTGAACTGATTTCTGCTTGCTGCGGCTTCGCTTATATGGACGCCGACCAAAACCGGGGTGGGTTTGTCGGCGTCGGGGGTTCCTCGATAATTCTAAATACATATCCACCTCTTTTATTTCTGGTTAGGGATTTTCCACTCTTTTCCATTTTTGGGAGCCTTTTCTTACTCCCACCTTCTCACCATACTTCAGAGGGGCTTGAGCTGCCCTCCCCACTTCTTCGTAGCAGCTTCTCATACCTATCCTCTGGATGGGCGGCGACAGCCTCCTTCGTGCGTCACGTGTTCACCACTCGACCAATGGTGTCTTAGTCGGGCGTGGACGAATCCGCGGCTTTGTTTCTGGAAAAAAAAATATCTTGCTTAACTAAAAAAATTATCTTTTCTTTTCCTTTTCTTTCTCTTAATCGCAGTTATCATTTTCTCTAGTCGCAAACGACGCTGGTCATAACTCTTGTTCTACACCTGGGCTCGTCAGTCATCTTATCGCTAATTATCAGAATGGGTGCTCTTTTTAACACGACCAGACGTCGCCCCGAAAAGAACATTTCTAAGTTCCCATTCATTTCCTTTCGGTACATATTTCTGATAACATAATTTTATTATCGCAGGCCAAAAGATTTTCCGTCGAAAAAATCGGTCAGTGGACACATCGTGTGCGGCTTTTGACACAAAATTTTCAAAAGCCGAAAATTTTGTGTCCACTTTTCGATTTCTTTTCGACGGAAAGTCTTTGGCCTGCGATAAATTTTTACAAGCCCTTTTGTCCACCTGTTTTCCGTCACTTATCGAAATAACATTTTCATTTGGATTTTTCTTTGGCCAGCAGTTTGTTTACGCATCCCAGATAACACACCCGATTCCTTTATCCACTCAGAATTTCCCTGTCATTGTAATGACACTCTTTCGCCATTTGTTAATTATCAAAATATCCTTTAACCATTGTCTCTTAGCCGTGGTGTTCTGCTTATCATCCACGTTTTGGGTCTCGCCTCTTTTTTTTTCCTTCTGTTCTTTCTTTTCTTTTTCTGCCTCGGTAAATGGTGCCACACTATTTCATATTAAACTAAATAATATTAATGCAAAAGAGGAAACAGGGGGTGGGAGAATGACGAAAAGAAACATAAATAATTGGCAAGTAGAGGAAAAAGTAATCAGGAGAAGAGTTGATACTGATTGACATTGTATTGAAATTTTTAGCTAGAAAACATTGAACCGGAAGGGAGTTCCACAAACAAGAAATGCGAGAAAATATAGCAAAAAGACAAAGTTTACGAACAGTTTCAATGGAGAGGAAATTGTGAACAGATATGATTCCAACGCCCTGAAGGAACATGTCATATAGAGGAAACAAGATTGGCAGATGGTTTAATCAATTTACTGTTGAAATTATTGGATGTAACCGTAAGTTCTATGCTGACTGTTCCATCTCTCGCTCTTTTTGCTGATGGAACTCACATCGGCCTCTCTCTTTCCACTCAGTTTTAATTATATAAATGCAATATTAATAGATATAAGTTATCTTTTTCATTGCAGTTCTTTTAATGTATTCTCTCACTCTTTCTTTTTCTCTCTCTCTCCCCTTAATAACGTTTTTATATCTCTCATAGTCTTTCACATTAAGTAAGCCAATGCGTCTTAGTGGCTTTATTATTTTTCTTGGGGCGAAATGATTAGAACTACGTTAATTTTATTGAAATAACTTTAAAAAGAAACAAAAGAAATGCTGTTGTTGAATATACAACTATGGCGGAGAATAAAAATGAAGCTGTATTATTTGAAACTCTCATCAGGGTTACTTTATTCTAAATTAGTTATATTCAGTCCCATCTGTCTCTGCAACCTTTTGCTTTCGATTATTAACTGCAGTTAATATGTCTTTTAAATATTCTGTAAGTGGGATTAATAATAATCACAAGGTCGGTAACTAAATGACTAACCACACTTCATAGTGTTGAAATGGCCACACAAACAATCAGAAACGTATGGCCCCTGTTCTCTTGTTTACAATAGAATGAAGATTATTTAAGTTTTGAAGTTCGCTGAAGTAACTAGGAGTCCACGCTATAGCTCCTGGCTTCCCTTTGTAATGAAATAAATCAGCATTATTCAGTCATTTGGGGATTGGAATGCAAATTTCTTGCCTGTCGATTTGGCATTGCTTTAGATAAATGACAAAGATTTAATGAGCTAAGGGAGAATGTGATTAAAAGAAAGCAAAAACAAGAAATGATAAAAAGGTAAGAAGAAAAAGAGAGAGTGGGGAGAGCGAGGGCCATTTAGAAAGCGGAAGTGGAAGAGGGGTGATGACAAAAACAAAAAGGCGAGCTATTAACTCTTGTAGTATTAAATAAGAAAAAATAAGTTAGAGCGAAATGGAAAATTTAGATTGAACAGGAGAAATAAACTTTCGAAAAAATCCGACGAGGAAGAGTATGATAATGAATCGTTATAAAGAATCAATGTTGATAGAATATAGATCTTGATGAAAGTATATGTTAGTCAATGAGAATAAAAAATATATAACATCTTAATTTCTTATTATTTACAGACCAATCATCAGGTATGTATATGAATACATATGTATGTGTGTGTATATATATATATATATATATATATATATATATATATATATATGGTGGAATCTCCAGTCGTATTCGACATATGAGGGTCAAGCAGCCCAGTTCTTAGGAACCGACAGCCAGACAGTAGTACATACTATAGAACATACTATAGAACCCAATCTGCCCTACTATTTACTCATAAGTGAAGGGAGAATTAGAGGATTATATATATATATATATATATATATATATATATATATATATATATCTTCAGTTGTAACCCTGGGTTACAAAATTTTGCGATCATGAGACAATTTGTCTGATGATCGCAAAAACGTCTGAAACATGATACATCTTCCTTCTGTGACTTTCTCCCAGTTTGAGCCTCTTGCTCGGTACTTTAAAATTGATCTCAATTACTGATAACCATCGGTCGAAAGTAAATTTTCCGTATTGAGTTGTGCGATAGGTGTGGCACCCTGCATTATTAGAAAACTGAAAAGAGATATTCATAAATATATGATTTAATTTATTCGGTTTGTTAACCAGTTGTTAGTTATTTAGAGATGAGAAATATTTGGGTCTTGAGAATAATTCTCTAATTGTATTTAGGCGATCCGAAAGAAAGAGAAAGAAGGAAGAAGAAAAAGAAGAGAAATAGATGGTACAAAACCCAGTCATAAGCAGACCCGCTTAAACTAACACAAAACAGGTGTCAAAAGATATCTAGGTCAAAGTACCTGCCCGAAATCCACGGAAAATAGAAATTGTTATAATTGGTTGAAGGAATAGAGTTTAGAAATAATAAAAAGAAAGAAAGGGAAAGACAGGAACTTGATACGAGACGGGGTAGTGAGCGAATAGGCACACGCGCGATTGATGCATAACAGATGTCGGTCAAGCACCTGACCTACTTTCGTGTCCGCGGAGTATGGGAGTTTGTTATCAATTTGGTTGAAGAAATAAGATTTTAGGGACAATGAAAAAATATTAATAGGTAATGAACGAAAAGGGGTGTCATTGAGATGATAAGTAACCGCTGGGGAAATGTATACGAAAACAAAACATTAATACACGAACCCTGACCATTTCTAGAGTTGAAGATAAGAACCACCCAAGATGATGAGTGGAGGATATTTTCAATTTAGATAATTAAAATTTTGTTAACAGGCCCCGAGCGAAAGAAAGAGGTGAAATATTTGTTTTAGCTCGCGGAAGACGCCGACGGGTCGGAAAAAGTTTTTCCTGGAAGTCACAGCTAATTAGCGGCGGGCTGTTTTGACAAATACCGCGTATACGAAAAAGACAATTTAAATTTTTTTTTTTTTTTTTGCAAGGTGTTTCTTCCCCAGAACAAAGCCCCGGATTGTACACGCCCGATTGGAGACGTCACGACGGAAGGAGGGAAGATACCGACCAGAGTCTCATTAGCCGAGGGCAGTCACATGATACATGAGAGAGGAGGAGAGACACCCTACCAGAGTCCCATTGGCCGAGAGCGGTCACGTGATGTGCGAGGGAGGAGGAAATATGCCCGACCAGGACCCCATTGGTCGAGAGCGGTCACCTGACATACGAGGGACCAAGGGGAAGCGGGTATGCCCCTCCCACCAGAGACACTGTAAGGAAGTAGGAGTGAAAGTAATAGCGATAATGGGAAATCAAAAATAATGCGACATTTGGAATTATCAGGAAAACCCTGGCGCCGACAGACCCACCCCAGTTTGTTACGGCGTCAATAAAAGCAGGACCCCAATCGACAGAAAGCAGTTGGAGCTGGGACGCGGACAGCGAGGGAGCTTGAACGCGGGCGGCGGGCCCGGTTCATTCGCCCCCTTGCGGGCAAGAGAATCCGAAGTGAAGAAAATTGCCGAAACCCGAAGAGAAGTTAAGTTGGAGTTGCAGTTGCAGGGCGGACGGCGAGACAGTTGTAGGTCGGACAGGCAGAAGAGTTGCAGGGCGGACGGCGAGACAGTTACAGGCCGGACAGGCAGAGAAGTTGCAGTTGGAGTTGGGTTTGCGCCTCGGACGAAGAAGAAGTTAACTTGCAGTTGTGACTAGGAGAAGTTGGAATCACACCAAGCCTATGAAGAGAAATTCGTCCAAGACAAGTCGAAGTGAATAAATTCATCCAAACTCAAGTCGAAGTGAATAAATTCGTCCATCCGAAGCAGAAGAGAAGTTAATTCGCGCACTGACGGCGAGGAAAATCAGCCGTGAACGACTGGTAGAGATCAGCGCCCAGTGTCGAAACCAAACCACACCCCGACATGCAAATTTCTAGAGAACAAGCAACTCGAAGTCTTAAAGTTGTATGGTAGAAGCTTGGTGCCACAGTCCACAAAACGGGTCGGGAGGTAGGAACAATTTTGTCTAACGAACATTTAGATATAAAAGGTTGTTACCCTTTTTTTTCAATAATTTTTGACCTCCCTGTTTGATCCCGTCTGTCTAAGATCTAATCACAACGTGGGTAGGCAGACCGGAGATCAGTGCAGTTACCCTAGTAACCAGGCGTTGGAAGCGAGTTGGGAACGACGAGGCTGGTATTCATCTAACCAAAGGGTTAGAACGTCACACTTGGAGCAGCGAGGAGCGAACAGCTGACGCCGCGGCAAAGACGTCACAACTGGTGCTGTCCGTGACCAGGATATCAGAGCCTGGAGAGCACGTGACGTCACAACTGGTGCCGCGAACGAGATCGAACGACACAGTCGACGCTGCGACCAGGGGTGGGGGAGCGACGTCACATAGGTAACACCTGTTTAAACTTTAACAATACCTCAGCTGACAGATATTGCTACATCTATATACTGATAATCTATAATGTTTTGATTAAAATATCATTAAAATGTACTTGTATTTTATTTGCGACGTTAGGTGTAAAACGGGTTCGTATCGCTTATTTGTACTGGAAAATAATTATCAAATATATTATTATTATTAGTTGATTTATTATTATTATTATTATTATTTTATTTCCTTTGATTTCTAATGTGTACTCATTTCTTTCCGGATCCCGCCCAGGGATCTAAGGTTAGAAATGGCATCATGACATTTTCCAATGGGCAAAAAAAAAAAAAAAAAAAAATTACATAGACAAAGCCCTTCGTAAGTTGTGGGCTGTAATCGCGAGAAAATTTTTTTGTATTTCTTCCATGAATCCCTTCAATTAGTCTACTGGGATCTTTTCCAACCAATCCGTGGGCTCCAACTACAACGGGAATTGTTGATGTTACATGTGCCACATTATTATTATTATTTTTATTTTCTTTTTTTCTGGCGTTTACACATTTCTTTCTGGGTCCTGTCTAGGGACCTAAGGTTAGAAATGGCGTCATGACACTTTCCACTGACAAAAAAATAAAAATAAAAATAAATTACATAGATAAAGCCCTTCGTAAGGTGTGGGCTGTACTTGTCAGAACAATTTTTTGTATCTCCTTGAGGCATGGACTTACAGGAATCCCTTCAGTTAGTCTACTGCAATCTTTTCCAAACAGTCCTAGGGCTCCAACTACAACAGGGATTGTTGATGTTCCCATATGCCACATTTTCGAGATTTCTATTTCCATTTTATTATTATTATTATTATTATTATTATTATTATTATGTTATATGCATGTTAAACATTTTATAAATCCTATAATATACCACTCCCTACGGTTAGGGTTATTTTATTTAATGCATTATTATATAATAAAAATGCTTCTGATTTTATTAGGTTATATTATTCGAACGAAAATAGAAAAAAAAAAAAAATATATATATATATATATATATATATATATATATATAGAGAGAGAGAGAGAGGAGGGAGAGAGAAAGAGAGAAAAAGTCAGATAGCGATAGATAGAGAGAGAAGGGAATCAAGTTAGTATGATCTTAATACGCATAACTATTCTACTCTACTCAACAAAAATTATATCGGATAATGGACATTGATTTTGGATAGCCGTCCTGTGACTGTTAGCTGACCAAAAAAAAAAAAGACATAACAATTTTGTTATCTACTTCTAGCTTAAAATTATATTACCACTTATAGTCTATAGGCCACGCATGCTGTCAATATGTAAATATACGATCCCGGTTAGGCAAATGCGTATCGTAATTCTTATGAAACTGAAGGCAGTAGGGTGAAAAAAATGGCCTGGCGAATAATGTTAGAAAAACAGATCTCCTCACTACAAAAAATACATGAGAGAAAAAATTTCTTGGCAATAACAGGAAAGACTAAGTACATAAGTAAACAAATTAAGACACAGATGGATATCTGCAGAATCGGAAGAAATAAGCTAAAAAATGACGAATTAAATAAGAAAAACGAAAAGAGGATTATCCAAAAACAATAGAAAATTGCATTTTACAGAACAAGGTGAAAAATAAATAAAAGCTCTTGATACTTCCTGAATAAGATTATAAACATGTCAAAGGAATCACATTGACATACCAGAATGTTTACCGACAACAAAGAGAAAAATCGGGTAATATATTAAGTAAAAACCTTGATTAAGTAAAAACCTTGAGTTAAATCGTCGTCGTCGTTGGCATCCTTCCGTCTCGAGAGACGATGAAGTAGCGCGGTGCGCTACGAACCTGGGCGGGATATATGGAGAACTAGGGCTGCCCACACTAGTTTCCTCTCTCGGCCTTGCTATCAGAGTCCAATGGAGAGGATAAACCAATACAGTTTGGTACCAGCGCGGCTGCAGGAGTTGCCAGAAGGTAGCCCAAAGTGCCGTCCATCCGCCTTAGGGGCCCTACTCCGGGTTTGAATTCAGAGTTGTCCTTCTCCTAGACCAGTTGCCATCCAAGGCTATAGAACCATAGCTGGAGGGAGAAGAAGAAGATCCACGTAAGTGAATGTAATAGATTCGACTGGAATTCGAACTCGGCTCTCTGATTCCTCAGTCCAAGCCGCTATCCATTACTCCACCGTGCCTCCTCACGTATCGAGTTAAATACAGGGTAAAAATAACGCGAAAATTAGCTAATTTTGAACGATCAGGATGTGATTTATCCTTGTACAGTTAAAACAGCTTTAAAACTACCTAAGCATATAAATCCTCGATTGTAGAACGTGCAAATACAAACAGACACGATAAAAGCAAGCCGATGACTTCATTGCGATTACGTACCTTCTATTCAATCTGGAAATCATAGGTATACAACTCTCAGAAAAAAAAAAACTATTCGAAGAAAAACAAAAATGATTTAGGAATACGTGGCATTAGCCATTTTGACCGTTCGATCCTGAAAGAAGCAAGAAAGAAGAAAAGTAGTTGCCAGCAGATTAATGCAAATAGACGTGCAAAATAGTCTTTCGATAAATTGATATTCGGATGCCTAAGAATATCCAAGACTGACAAATGAGGGTTGGAATTCATAGCTAAATTTATGAAACTTTGAACTGAAGTAAACCGACAGTAAAGAACATTTATCAAGTCAATAATGGAGGAAATTTACAAGGCACACACTGTGTTTCCTTCACTATTTTTCACACGATTAATTTGACCAGGAATAAATGCGAAGTTATACTCTTTCTCCAACAGAGAGGAAATCTCAAGCACCTCATGTATATACTTTAGTGAATATCTATGCAGATGATAGGACGTAAATCCCGATGTCCAGAGACTGGCAAGCTAACTCTGACCAGTTGGGGTATAACGTTCTTGTAACATTCAATAACTCAATCAACAGATTACTAACGCTCGTACATAATCGAGCTGACCCTGTATTTTTGCCTAATGAAATGAACTGGTATTTGCTCAATAAAGTCCTATGTCTTGAACGCCTTTTAGGACTCAATTACAGACGAAGACCTCAAGTGGCACGCATATATTTTTCATTGCAAATGATAGCGGAAAATGTTGTTGCATCAACCCAGAAAGTACCCTACTCCAACTCTTATGCCCTCTATTAACTAGAAGCATATGAGACCAAAAATAGAACATTTCTTCCATACCTGGTCTAGAGCTGCCCAGTCTCGAGTTACCAGTCTTTACAGACTTCAAGAGCGGTTACGCTGTTTACAAGTGATGAATTTGTACACTCAACACCCGTTTCTCACAGACGAGACGTCGCTGGACTCTTTCTACTCTATCCCTATATACATCGCAGATTTGCTGTCGAGCTGTATTCCATAGCTGCTCCAGTTATAGCCTTCAAAGCCAATAGACGCCATGCCAACGTACACCGGAAGGAACCATCCACATTCGCTTCCTATTCCATTAATAAAAAGAAAGTTATACTCGGATAACCTTTTTCTAAGTATACTTTGAGGAAGAGATTACCTCGAGGATACTTTCCGAACTACAAAAATCTGTTGAAATCTGGCTACTGTTACCTTCCCCACGTATCGTCATAAACTGTATTTTCTTAACTCTAATTTTATTGCTTATAAACTTCATTCAGTATTGATCTAAATTGAGTGGCTCTTTGGCATTGTATATGATGGACATTAGTAAAAGTAATCTCAAAAATTAATTTGAAAAGAATTATATTTCCATCAGCTGTTTCAAACAATGCTGTCACCTGCACAAACCCAATGATGTCAAATATTTCTAAGGCGTTAAGCGTAGCAGAAAAATTCTTGGAAATAGTCCCAAATGTGCTACTCACAAAAGGTACAAGTAGAGTTGCTGCTTGGTATACTCCCATGATTTGCTTTGATTGAAATTCATCGAGGATATCGGAATCGAATTTGGAACAAGCAAATTAACCAAAAAAAAAAAAAAAATGACAAAAACAATAACTGCGTTAATCATACAGGACTGATAGGAATGCTTGGTTGTATATGAATGAAAGCCAATATTGCAGAAAGGGACGAAAGAAAATATTATGTGGTAATATATTCGAATGAGAAAAGAAAATCATTGAAATAAAATCGAATAGTAGAAACGTGATGAAAGGAATGGACGTTAACAACAGCGGGAAACTTAAATCAATCAGATGTATAGATATACGATCATACATTATGAAATCGACAAAGTCCGACAATTATTTAACAATTTTTTTTAAATAAAAAAATGTCTTAAATAATTGTCAGATTTTGTCCATTTAATAATGTATGATGTCACTTGTTTACATTTGGATACGCATTGAGCAAATATGAATGAATAAGAGAAAATCATGGAGAAATGTTCTTAAAAACACTCCTCTGTGGCCCAATCGGTTAACAACACGTCAGGGTATATGACGGTTCCGTATAAGATACAGGTTCGATTCCTGTCGGAGAACAAATATTTTCTATGAAAACTTCTCGGACATTCAGGCCGGTAAATGTTGTTAATACTTTTTATTATAAAAAGAGCATTTACTTAAATATTTGTATCTATAAAAAGAACATATAAACATAAAAAAATATCTTCCATACGATCATATACAAGGATTTATATTCCAAAGATAGCAGACAGATTATATGCAAAACAGAAGGATGGAAGCACAGGATAAATCGGCTTTGAAGAGTGCTTCCAAATGGCCAAAATGGAACTGGATAAATATAAAAATGAAAATAGCATGTTTAAAAGAATAAAATGTATCAAATATTTCCATAAATTAAGTAAAAACGATGGATTGGGAAGCAATGAAGGGCCTATGAAAGAAAGATACAATGGAAAAGAAAAATATTGGATGAACAGATAGAAAAATTACTATGGTGATAGAAAAGGAATCCTTTAATTTTGTAGCGAACAAGGACATCCTGAGAGACAGATATTAATTAATAGACTGAAAATATCACTTTCCCTCTGCAAGAATATATATAACGGAAAATCCCATAATCAGTGAAAGTATCAAACGGACCCTAAATGAACACAAAAGTAGACACGACAGGGTAGACACGACAGGGTAGACACGACAGGGTAGACACTGAAATACACAGAAATGAGCAAACGCATTGGATTCTAGCATATAGACTTATTGTTTTAGAATAAAAAAGAAATAATAATAATAATAATAATAATGATAATAATACTAACAACAACAGCAACAACAAGAAAAACCCGTGAAAATTTCACGGCTTTCCTATTTGAATATTCTGAGGAATCTTAATTCTTAGGTTGATGATTGAATAAGCAAACAATGAGTTCTATGACAATAAACAACCGTAGAAATTCCCATGTTGTACTGTTAAATATTTGCGCTAGCAACTTTAACAAAATATTGCAATAAAAATCATAAATATGAATCCTGTTCGTTATTTTAAGAAGTAAGGGGATACAAATGAAAAGATTTGAAATGGTAAACTTTTTCCATTTCACCGAAACAGCCTTTAAACACTTCTATCTTTCTTTTTTTTTTCTTTGTTCCTTACTTCTTTCTTTTTCTCACTGAAACCAAGTAGTGTTTTTTCCCCTCTTTCCACGTGATCACAGCAGAATAGTCCATTGTTTATTAGGTATTGGCAAGGAGTAACGGACCTACTGACACAGGAAGTGACAAACACAAATATCATAGGATAACAAACTTACAGTATAGTCAAGAATGGATGTTAAGAGGTGCGCTGAAAAAATCGTCCTTGAGAAGAAAAGAATGGAACATAAGGGGATCAGTATTTATGAAGAGAAAACGAACAAAAAGCCATTGGCACAAGAAACACATATTCGGAATCATGAAGGTGCCTGAAATAAGGAAACATGAAAACAGAACCCGAACTAATGATATGTTCAGGTTTGAAGGAATCATTCTATGTAGTAAGCTCTTCATAGAACAGCTGATTTAACCTTGTGCAGGCTGTCTTGGGAAGCTATTGAAAGCAACAGATTATCACTGCCTCGACACAGGTGACACAAAATGACTACAGAAGAAGACATGACACAGTCAATACATTCAGCGATATACAGGGTGTCCATAAAGTTCGTGTGCGCTTTAAAAAATTTATAACTTCATTTGTATTTGCGATAGAAATAATCTGTAAAAAATATTAAAGTTCAATGTACCTAGTTTTAAGTATAGCTAAAATAACTAATGTGATTTCAGGTATTACTGTAAATTAGTTGGCAAATGTTTTCCGTGAACTGCAAAATCGTATTACCCTTTGTATTATTAATGATGGAGGACATGTGGAAACTTAAAAATTCAATACAACCTTAAAAAATATAGAGTTACTTCTTTCTAATCCTTTTTACAAATTATTTCTATCGCAAATACAAATAAAGTTATAATTTTTTAAAGTACACACGAACGTTATGGACACCCTGTGTAGGTAGTGCGGCCTTGAGAACGTAAAGATATGAAACGGGCATTCACCACTGTCAATGTTAGAGAATGTGCAAGTGAAGCTCATGTGGGATACGGCTATCTTGACCAATTAACACTTGGGGAGCAATCGCCCTGATATCACAATCGGGAAATCATGAATGTATACTGTAATACCTTGAGATAAGAACATCGTGAACGCGAAGCATTAGAAAATGTACGTACACAAAAATCAGACAGATCAAATTAGAGGAATAATCAACTCTGGATGTACGTTTTATTAGCACTGGGACGTTGGGGGTCAATACACATCCAACCCAAAATCTACATTAAGAAAATCAACACGGAGTTTACTATCCCATCGGGTCGTTGCTTAACGTTGTAAATATTCTTCGAATAATGCTATCTGTTTGAGATCGTGCGACTTCATGGAGACCGCCCATAAGGCATGATCACTGGTTGAAGACAAAAATACGTTGGAGTGATTAGATGGTAGCGCAGTTTTGATTATGTCTCTAAGAGAAGCTCAGATATAACAAATATCACCAGGACAAAACTTGTATAAGACGGAGGGGGTATGAAACAAATCCAGTAATAATTTGGCGAAATCCCAGCAGATGATCATTATCAAAATCTTTTCAGCATGTCTATAAATAATTGAACGCGGAGATTAATCGTAAGTATATGCTGTGGATCCGAATGAGGTTAGGGTCAATTTGAAGGTTTCTTCTTAGCGTCTGTCGTTATGGACGGTGGGAAATGAAAAGTTCAAATAGTCAGTGGCGATAGAAATATTACTTAATTATCTGGTTGCGTGCACCAGTTTTGGCTCTGGCTATGTGAGAGACACGTTCACCTCTTCGTTATGCTAGTATCGTGCCTATTAGCTGAGAACTGGTAGTTAAACTGAGGCATTATTGGCTAGCCGCCCGTAGGGGGAAAACATTTGTGAGTCCGTTTCAGATCTTATTTTGACTTTATGTTGGAATGATACAAACTGTTTTTATTTAGTTTTGTTACCGTCTTCACACTTAAATGTTTAATAATGTTTAAAAGTATATATTCTAAGGCACAAGTGCATAGATAATCTAGATCACCTAATCAATGCGTACATTTGATATGGATAGATAGTCCCATTCTGTTTAATGCCAAAAAGACTCAGGTAATATATTTATATATATATATATATATATATATATATATATATATATATATATATATATATAATCGACTCTCCCGTCGAGATTCGACGTATGAGGGTCAAGCAGATCAGTTTCCAGGAAACCGACAGCCCGACACCGGCACATGAGATTTGATTATAGTGGTGAAAGCCTCGTGCAGGACCATCCACACTTTTTGAAGGGACGAATACAGAGACCTGGTGCACCGAATGCCACAAGGTTCCCAAACGACCCTCCGCAGGTTTTGAATTCAGAGTTGTCCTTCTCCTAGACCAGTTACCATCCAAGGCTATAGAACCCAGTCTGCCCTGCTATTTTACCCATAGAAGGAGGGAGAGGAAGAGGATTCATACCTTTCCCAAGGGTATTAGCACGTAAGTGAAAGTAATGGATTCGACTGGAATTTGAACTCGGCTCTGCGATTCCTCAGTCCAAGCCGCTATCCATTACTCCTCCTACCTACCTACCTCTCTCTCTCTCTCTCTCTCTCTCTATATATATATATATATATATATATATATATATATATATATATATATATATATATATATAATCACTCTGTTATATTGCATCGAGCTCTGTTTCATTAACACTATGAATAATTTGAAATTGAATTAATGAATGCTGGAAAATTTTATCACAGATGAAGAAGAGACTTGAGATGACAGAAATATGGTTCTATAGAAGGATGCTAAGAACATCAGGAGCAATGGCGAAGTTGTAGTGAAAATGAAAAAAAATACTTATATTAGCATCTGAAACAGACTCTTGGGATGAATGAGGAAAGACGGCGTAAGAGTAGACACTCACAGCACATTTGAAAATGAAACGGGACAGAGGAAAATAGCGCATAACACACCTAACGATCACGTGTTAATGGTTGAGAAAACAGGGATTAGATAGAGCAAAATACAAGCCTTAATCTGAGCTACAAATTACAGGAAATTGTGGAGAGCCATTATCTTCTACATCCTGGTGAATACAAGTAGTCTTTACTTGCACTACCTGATAAAAAGTAATAAAGGATATTCGCCCTCATTGTCTTGCTGCTAATCGATATGAAATTAATTTTCTTATTTGCAGATGTATTTTCACTTAGATATTGTTATATATATATATATATATATATATATATATATATATATATATGAAAAGTGTATATAAATATAAATATATATATATATATATATATATATATATAATTATTTATATATTATATGCGCGCTACTTATTATTAAATATCACCATATACACGGTCATCAAAAACAAACAAATAACCAGCTTTAAATATAACAAATGGACACCCTTTTTTAAAAAATTATAATTAAAAATAATAATAATTTTTACCTATCATAATTTTACACAAACCCCACCACACGTATATACATACATGCGAGGAAATATTATTCAGTGGAAAAATAGAAAAATCACATGTATACATTCACGTGACATTCACGAGATATTTTCGCTACACTTCCAATCTTTGAATTTCAACATACAAATGCGTATGTATAGACACAACACCACCCGTATGCATACATATGTCAAATCCGAATCGGTTCACAGATGTTTATATATGTATGAGTCCCGACGGACAACCAAGTGTGTATGTGTTTCTGCGTACTTCATTGGGCGTATGAGCATACATCGATGTTTGCGTTAGCATGAGTGACATCACGACGACGTTTTCCCCCCACTTCCATAATAGCACCAATACACGCAATCTACATAAACCCAAAATTTTAAAAAAATTAATCAGTTTGTCTGACGATCGCAAAAGCATGAAACCCAGGGTCACAAACTCACATCAATCCAACCAAATATATATATATATATATATATATATATATATATATATATATATATATATATAAAGAAATATAGTCTTAAGGTGTGCTATATTTATGGGATAAAGTGCTCAATATCAGAGATAGAGCGTGTGTAAATATAAAAGTGAACATAGAAGTTAACACTTAGAGGCGACAGTCTGTTTCATGCTATATGCAATCGTCAGGCCTGACGATTGCATATAGCATGAAACAGACTGTCGCCTCTAAGTATTTATATATATATTCTAATCTGAATTTCCCTACCTTACTTCGTAACGAGGGTGAAACGCATTATCAATATTTTTTATAATTTGGGTCAAGTTTCTACATATGAAGTCTAATAACAAAGTACCGTGATTACTGCTATGGTAACGGAGGTCAAGTACACAGATTAAAGCAACTTAGCACTGACCTCAAACTCAATTTCCTTGTTTATAGCAGTGCTTGGAAGGAAAGGATGTAAAACGTTGTTATCTCACCACAGAGGTTGTAT